GGAACCACTCCATGTATTATTAATGCTTGGGAGACAGGTCTGCTTGCTTGCTTGTTTTGTTGGATTTGCCTCAGGTTAAACATCCTGGTGTGGTTTAGGGGTGAGACCCAGATGCAAGTGACAACACAAAGATGTGGCAAAGGAAGGAGACAGGAAGGGATCTCATCAGGCTATGACTAATCACTGGTCCTGTGGAACAAAGCAAGAGAAAGGATGACAGGCTGCTGAGTCCTCCTGAGAGCCATTCCCATTGCATCAAGGGTAGCTTTGGGGAAGGGAGGTACAATGGAGGTATGTAGTTTCTGTGGAGAAGTTCTTGTCTACAGTCCTGCATGGCACTGGCTTTTATTTCAATGTTACTAACCAAGGTAAATCCTTAAGGGCGAGAGCACTGGGAAAGGAAGAAGGGGAAACAGTGTCTAGACTGGTTACATGGAGAAAGTATCTGCACTTTTGTCCTGTCTATACTAGGCTTTTACAGGGAGATAGGTATGGAAATGTAAAGCAAAGAACCTTCAATTTGCAGGAACTAGAATAAACTTACATTCCCCACTGAACTTCACAGTTCACAGACAACTTTAGCTGTTCTTCAAAGCACCTGTGAGTGGCATCGGATTTTCCATGAGGTTCCCCATGGTCTCTCCTTCTCTGTCGCTTCCCACAACATCAGCATCGCTGGAAACCTTCTTTCAGCACCTCCAGCCTAGCTGCCAGTGGAAAAGTCTGCTCTCCCATCTGCTTGTAGATGGATATTTCCCTGCAGGTGTGAGCAGTACAGTCCCTGCAAATGTAACTGCATCCTTTCAAGGGGATCAGGTCATCATAAACTTCTTGGTGCAAGAGCTGTACATTGTCTGCAAGCCTAAAATGCTGAAAGCAGGCTGGAAAACAAGGAAGATCCCCTTCAACTATTCAGCCAGTGTTTTTCTTGTCTTTACCCTTCAAAGACTTCCTGAAACCTCTGTGCCACGTGAAAACACTGATCATGCTATCAGTGCTGTGGGCTTCTTTCTGTAGGGAAACAGAAAAACAATGAAAGAGAGAGAGCAATAAAACAATATAGGCAGGTTTTTACAGATTCCCCAAATAATCCATTTGGCATCTAATTCACGTTGTCAGCTTCACCTAAGTATTCAAGGGGAAGGGAGGGCTTCTTCCTCAGTGGAGATGCTTACTTATTTCACCACAGGATGTCTGAGGATGGACACAGATAAGGACAATTACTTTCCTGAATAAGGAGAGGGTCTAGGGTTTGCTCCTCCTGGGGTGTTCCAAAGCAGTAGGTAAACTATTTCTCATTTACCCTTCTCAGCTGCTGCTGAGCCATTAGCCTTTACGGTTCACTTGACTTTCAGTAAGGGAGGCCTGAGGCAGGGCAGGTGGGCAGGCTAGCTTGTCTGACCTCATTATTGCTGAGACCTGTCTATCTCCTGAGGCAGTGCCAAATGGTGCAATTTTTGGTTGATCAGTCCAATACTAAATTGGGAAATATTTTCCTCTGTCACTTGTCATTCTTCCTTCTCAGTGCCCTTTCATTGCCTTGTGAAAGGTGAGACTGTCGGCAGAAAGGAGTAAGTCTGATTACCGACATCTGACTGAAGAATATATAGGCTCCTCTCTGCATATTGGTGGGAAGGTAGTAGTACTTAAGTGAGAGGTGAGGACTGTTTGAGCTGGAAATCCCTGTGTGTTCCTGAAGTCTCCACAAGCTGAGGGTGAGAGATGATACACTCTCCCTTGTTAGAACTCTGGGGCAATGGTGCAGCCTTTTTGATTTCCATGCTCCCATGGAGACACCAAAAAATAAGGGAAGTGGATGATGGACATCAAGATGCTGGGTGTACTGGTATTGCTTACTTGGGACTCTGGATTTTTTTAATCTCCAGTCCTGGCTACATTTTCTGATCTGCACAACTTTTTTTTCTGTGCCTGTTCCTGCTCACAGGAAATTGCGGAACCTCTTTACCTTGTGGTGTCACTGTAGTATTGATACAGTCACCTCTGCTGGCTTCACTGGTTTAATTTGTGTTAACTATCATGTTTGTAACCACAGTGAAAGTGATTATTTTCTAAAGCAGGTGGAGAGTGGCTTCTGCTGTCTTGAAGGGAAACATTCCTCCCTAGGCTGGGACTCAAGGGAAAGGGGCCAGCCTGGTTCTCTGGAAAGATGAGCTGGGACTCTGCTGAATTATTAAGTACACACCACAGCCATCAGCTCGGAGAGAAAGAGAAGCACCAGCTTAGGTCACAGGTGCAGGATGGAGATTATTAAGAACAGAGGAGTGTAACTGGATCTGACTCATGCCCTTTGATGCTCTGCTGCCTTGATCAGTGTCACAGCTGCTTGGCAGTATGATGCACATGCTTGGCTTGGTTTGGTGGGTCTCTCTGGCATCACAGACAGTCGGAAAAGTCCAACTCCACAGCACTGAATCCTCCTGCTCCTTTCAGGGGCATCTCACTCTTAGAGCAAGCCTGGAGGAACAGCAACCCTAGGTCACACACATGGAAACTGGAAACTGAGGCACAATGTTTCAGTCTAACAACTCAAATGTGTTGACCACATTTAAACCCCCTTTGTTCACCAACATAAATGATATGCATATTTGCAGAGGACACAGTCACAAGCAGCTGCGGCAGGAGGTCCACCAGAGCTTATGTATCTGCAGTTCTTGTGAAAAAACAGGTTGTCTGATTAGATGACTTTGTTGCCCAAGTATGTGTGTCCACTCCAGAAGTTTTGGGCAAGGTTGTATAGCCCTAGGCTATAGGGAAAGATAACTAGGTTGAAAATAAGATCACATCTCCCAGCCATGCCGGAGATCTCCGAGATCCTTCCACTGTGCATGTCCAAACAAAATGGGGAATGTCTTTCTGTCCCTTTGGCCACGTGAATCTGCTGTGATGCGAGGAAAGGACAGGATGGGGTGTTGCACTGTGAAGAGAGTCATGCAGCTGCTTCTTGTTCGGTAGCAGCTGGCACTTACCAGCACTGGCAGGTGGCTGGTGCACCCATAGGAGATGCTGCCTCATTCAAGGGGACAATATCGCTTACTCTGAATGAGGCACCCAGTCCTGTTCCTGCAGGAACTTCTACCACACACTTAAGGACTGATCTTGCACTGTTTTTGCTTATTCCTCTTGCTTTAATCATAGATTGAAATAGTTTACTACTGGAGGAGGTCTACTTTATCAGTAAATATTTATTTCTATATTGCCACCTTGTAAGCCTCGTCCTCTTTCTCTGCTGTTAATGCCAGCCTCTCTGGAGTTTCTTGAGACAAGGAAATATAGGTTGTTTTCCTATGTTTTCCTCTTTCAAGTATGTCAGTCCTTGAACACCAAAATAGAGCACTTCTAACTGGAGACAGGAACTTGTCATCTGACAGTGTTTCTCCTTGTTTCACAAGTTACCTTGTGAAAATCTGCCTGTGTTGGGCCATATTAACCTTTGAAATGTCAATAGTTGTAAATGCGTTATGAGATGTTCAATGGGTTTTGCAAGGTTTCAAACAGTTAAGAATCTCTGAAGAATCTGCACTGAGTAGGCTCTGAGCCTCTCACAACACAGATTTTTTTGTCTAAATAAGACAGTTTTAGGAGTGAGATTAGAGGAAGGATACAGTCAAGCAGTGAGGAAAAATGAGTAAAGTTGCTTAAAGTAAATAGCTGACAATTGTCTTCTGAACAGAAGTTTTAGGCTGTCTGAAAAGCAGAGGAGATATTATCAGTTTCAGGTATACTTTAATGCTTTATTCTTCACTGATGTGAAAGCAAGTTTCAGAATCAGCATTTTGTAGAATTTCCCGTCAGAAAAGGCTTTTATTTTTTGCTCACATTAAGGATGAAAAGAAGGACTGTAATGGCCCTGCTCATTTTTCTATCACCCTGTGCACGAGATGTTGCTGGCTGCTGGTACCACCATCCCTCTGTGGACAGAACTGTGGCAGAGGGACTGGGTAAGACTTCCAAAGGAGACCAGCCCCCTTGCAGACTGTCCTATGCTGCCTGGCAGCAGCTATCACTGGGAGAAGGGTTGGTTGTTTTTCCTTTGGTTTATCTAGCTCTTGGTCTCCAAACTGGAAATACCTTGGCTGTCAGGAGCAGCAGAGGCTTATTTGCTTTTTCCGCATGAATCATGAGACTGGAGATGTTCAATCTGCTCCATGATGGAGGGTCTCAGCCTGTTTCTCTGTTCAGTGGGGCAGCTCCCTGGGCAGATTGCTGGAAAGCTCTGGGAACAGATGAATAAAGAGGTGTGAGAGCATCTGGAGGGACCACAGGTGTCCCAGTGCCCTGGCACCCTGTAAACACAGCCAGCTTGATTTCTGTTCCTCTGAACTGTACTGCTCACATGTACCCTTCTAAATGGTATAGGGCAATAATCTGCAGACCTTTAACCTGTATTCCAGTTAGGAAGAAACTGTAAACCAAGCAATGATAAAATATAGTCTGATAGCAGTTTATGATACTTCAGCAGGTGAACCTGTTTACCATGAATAATACTTTTCTATGGGAAAGAGATGATGCTATATCCTGAATCAGGCTTTCCCCTGCAGTGTCATCACGTGTACAGTGTCAACATTGTACTATTTTTCTAATAGGAGCACAAATATTTTCTTTTATTCCAGAAGCCTCTTGCTCAGATGATTTCTAATTCAGGCCACTGGGATTTCTACAGAAATTTTTGAGAAAGCTGGAATAAACTTAGAGAATGTAGAACAATGTAAAACGAAACTGTTGAGCCCAAGTTTGGGTTGCAGTGTCATTTCCTGACCTATTGTAAAATAGTGGATGTAGCCACCTAACTCCAGACCACTTCTTATGTGTGTGATGGGTCCAGTGCTTTAGCTGGAAAATGCCAAATACACCATTTCAATGGGAGCTAAACCCTGTAGCTGCAGGCAAAGTAGTTTACAGAGTCGAGTATGAACTGCAGCAGGATTCAATGCATTATGTATGGATCAGCCCTCTGGAATTGCACATGCATGTAAGTTATGCCTGTAGGAAAACAGTAATTTAAAACCTCCTTCTTCTCCGCCTCTTGGAGCTGACTTACGTTAAATATTAACAAACTTGGTTCATCAATTCCCTGGTTCACTTGGCTTCTTTTAACAACAGACGTTACTACAACAACTCTGTCTGCCTCCCTGCTTCTGTCAGCACAGCCAATGGTGAAACCCAAGAATCTGCAGTTGTAACTCTGCCTGCAGAGCCTGGCTGCTGCCCCAGTCCTATAGTCATCCCCAACTTTCTTCCTGAGATCACAAATGCATCCCACCTTTGGCGTCTTTGAGTAGTTTGTACTGAGAGACACTTGTTGCAGAGAGGCTTTGGTTAAAGGAGACTGAGGAAAGGTGTGAGTGAGCCCACAGGAAGGTGAGTTCCTCTTGTCAGAGGAGGAAGCAGTGAGCATGGCCAGCAACCCCAGTGCACTGCCCCGGGTAACCTTCCAGACACCGGAGAAACCTGGGGAGGAATCATCACACAGGAAACTGGGCAAGTTGACCATAAAGTATAACCGCAAAGACCTACAGCGCTGGCTAGACCTGGAGGAATGGATCAATGCCCAACTGCAGGAGCTATACCAATGCCGGGTGAGTAGCTGGGGCAAATCAGCTTGTTAGGTAAATGGGTCTAGAGATCCTGTGTGCTGGGACAGAGGTTTGCTTGCTCTGCCTCACTGGAAATAGTTTCTCATCTTCATTCTTCAGTAGGTATCTCCTTGCCACCTGCTGCAGTCCTCTCTCTGACTGGTGTGTCGGCAGGCAGAGAAGCTTGCACTGATACAATCCAACCAGCTTTAAATTGCCTGGTGTTGCACCCACTGAGGGGATGTAGCTATTGCTCAGCACGAGTAGCAGAACCTGGAGAGATGTATAAACCCAGGATGCTTCTTGTTGCTGCACTCCATATGGTGAGTGGCTTTGCTGCAAGCAGTATTTAAGCTAGCTGGGTTAGAGTTATCAGTGTATCCCTGTTCCTTTTTGACACAACAGTGAGGCTCTACCTGCTGTTTGAAAGAGACACTTCAGATAATGCTGTATCTGTAGGTGCTGAGTCTGGACACACTACTGACAGAAGGAGAAGGGAAAAAAAAATCTTATGCACAAATGTGTAGATCTTATGCCTTCTTGTTCACAAAACCCCAGAGCCGTCTTCCTTGCCTGAACTTCCCTTTGCAACAGGAACAGTCCTTCTTAAATTCTTTCTGCCTACCCGAGAGTTGTCCCACTAAGAAAGATCCAGGAGTGCCTAGGTCCAGCACCTCAATGGTGTGGGTCTTTATTTCAGCTGTTGCAGAGTAGATGACAGTTTTTTATTGGGTAGGTGACATTTAAGTCAAGTTCCAGCCCTGGCTGCGTACACTGAAATTTTAACCTTGTACTATCACTTCTGTGCATATACTGTGCTTAGATGGATAGCTCTTATGCTGGGTGCTTACATAAGTGATAGTGCTTTTCCATTCCTTTGGAGTGTGGTACAGGAAAAGGTGAAAGGATTTTCTACACTGTACATCATGTCCTTAAACCCATTTAAATAGCTTGACTAAGAGTTTTTCTTTACTCTGTAGGGAAATGGCCAGTACAGTAAGAGAACAAAGCTTTCTTGACTCAGAGCCCAGTACATCTTCAGTGGAAGACATAGATGAGTCTAACAAATTGTGTAAAACAGCTTATTCATGTCTTGGATGGGAATGGACTAAATGAACTGCCAAGGCTTTTCTGTCCTGTCTTCTGTATTTGCACCTCAGCACAGTGCCAAACACATTTAAGGAAAAAAGAGTTGACGATTGCTTAGAGACTTCCACTCCGAGCATCAGCACTTTCAAATTGCAATCAACAATGGAAGTGGATGTGTTAGCACAGCCCAGGAAAGGTAGTTTTTCTGTTATATGCCATGATGGTACAGAGAAACTTTTGCCTGCCCAGGGTGATTTTCTTAGCCTGAGAGCCATAGAACGATGTCAACTCCATAGCTGAAGAGCCAAACTTCAGGAACTGTCTCAGGGCTGTCTTTATTATTGTTGTTGCTGTTGTTTTTTACTATTGTAGTCATTATTATCGTAATTTTCTGTGTGAATTTTCCTATTTGATATTTGTGGGAAGGTACCAGATTCTCAAGCCACGTTGGGAGATAAAAATAGTTCATTTCTGTTTTAATTTATGCCATAGGCAAATAACAGGCAGCAGAAAACAAATATGGAGAAAAGGTCCTTCCTTCTGCTGCAAATGAATGGCTCCTCTGAAAATTCCCCCTATAGGGAATTACTGCAGTTTTAAAGAGTTAAGTTTTTGGGACTTTTTTGGAGGCAGATGAGAAGCACTTCGTAGCACCACTCACATGACCCAAGATGGGGCTCCCTATGTGCTACTCTTACTTGCTGAAGTCTAGCGAGATAGACCTTTACACTTGTAAAGGTGTAAGAAAAACAAGTCAGCTTACGTTATCACTTCTGCTCTTCTGAAAATTAAGATCTGTTTACTGTCATCAGAGCAGCTGCCCAAAGGGGACATTTTTTTCCCTACTACAAAATGCCAGCAGGCACAAGTGAGAAACCCAGCCATGCCCTTACAGAAACAGATTGCCAGTGGATTGCCTTTGCTAGCACCTCTCCAGCACAACAGATTTCCATACTTCCTGATGTATTCAGGCCAGCCTAAGAGATTTGCTACCAGGAACTACATAACACGATGGTGTGCCAGGTCAGACTATTAATAGGGTACAACGGGGGGGTTACATAGGATCTTTTCAAATACATACATGTGTCACAGTAATTGCTTATAATCACCCAGGTGTCCAGCAGGTCCTCCTGCTCTCCTCTGTGCATTGTGGCAAGAGTATTTAGCTAACCCTGCTACTCTGAGCTTCCTTGTGTCCATCAACTTCCATTACATTTACCATTTTCTGTTACCTCTTTGCTCCACCTGCCCTTGGCAGTGCAGTGTTCCTCAGTGTCTTCTAGACATTCAAATTGCCAGCAAGGTTAGTTCAAACATCACCTCCTGATACAAGTAATATGAATGCTATGATGTTTACTATCATGAAGCTTTTTTGCAACCAAACTAAGACTTGGTGATTTTCAAAATGATTCCTTGCTCATGGAATCCAGAACAGCATCCACACTAGGACCAAAAAGCCACAGGGAATTACTAACCTGTCTCACCCTCCTGGCCTATTTAGCTTCTCAGCCAGAGACAAAGTTGAACTGGATCAACACCTGCTTTCTAAATAGTTACATGGAAACTATTACTTTAAAAAAAAATGCTGTGTGGGTCACAATGCAATATATTTAACTCTGGTTTATTATTTATTGTTAAGTTAGCTGCATATCACAGTTAAACAAAGGCTTTCTACTTCCTCTCTGGCATACAGAGAAATATCAGACACTGCTAAGAAAAAGTTTCTTTTTTTCCTGTAAATATTGCCTTTATGTTTAATGTTTTACACATACATCTGTAAATGCTAGTTCGCAATCAGGTACTGTGCTGTTTATCCAGTATCCTTACTCTGCTGATTATTATGTCAAAATATCACTAGTGTTGTGCTGTGAAAGATTCATTTTGCAAATACACTGGAAAACCACAACCTGCTTTCCTTAAAGACTTGTAGAGACTTTTGAAGCTTTAATGTGTCTGTGATCAAGTTTTACAAATGTTTCCAACTAACACCCCGATGTAGTACAAGACTATTACTCCAGTCACCAAAACTTGGGGTCCCTCTTACATTAAAGAAGACTATTATGTCCCACTCATGTCTGTTAGAGAAAGCTGGCAAAATATTGTTAGGTCTTTCAACAGCATAATTGTTTTTCTCTCCATTGCTGCAAAAAGCCTTAGTATAAATACAAAGTATGTGAATGTAATTAGCATAAAAGCCTAAAATCTTCCTGTATTATCTGTGCCTCTCAAACACGAAGCCTGCTGGATTTGTTTGGTGAACTCTTCATAGATGAGGGGTGTCACAGGCTGTCTTAAATTGCACTGCAGTTGGATAGTCTTGAAAGGGTCTTTCCATGATGGATTATGATCCCTGAGCAGTGCAGTGGTGGGAAAAGATGAAGAATGTGTACATCAGGAGGTGTGGTTCTAGCAGACTACGCAAAAGGGCTGGAATCTGTGCCCTCTTTATAAGAACCTCCTTATTTTGAGATGATTTATATCATGACTTCAATTTTGCAGCACAGTATTATTGTAACTCAGCTGCTCAGTTCTTTAAAGATGGACTCTAGAGTTCTTAGATGTTGGAAGGTTTATTAACTGTGGTGGGTTTTTTTCTTTTTAGCTAAGGGAAGAAACAGAGACAGCAGCTCCTGAACCACAAATTGATCTTGAAGATCTCCTGGAGGTCCCTAATGAAGAACAGAAATTAAAACTACAGGTCAGATAGAGAGACTTGGTGACTTTGGATTAGGGACTTCTTAGAGTAGTGGTGTGGGGGGTAGAGAATATGTGTTTCCAGTGTTGTATGATGCTTCCCTGTGTTTTCACTTGTCAGAGGTAGTAAGATTATATACATTTTTTGTAGAGAGGAGATGATTAGATCAACTCATAAATACTAAAATGATGACTCCTTGTTTTTTTAGGAAATCCTCCATGAGTGCTCCAGCCCTACAGAGGTGAGTGAAGCACCATATACATGTATGTATGTTAGTTATATATTATACTGCGCTGCTACAATGTGTCTTTGTTGCTGCTTGGCTGAATAGCCAAGATATTACTGTACTGTAGATTCATTTAATCCTAATGGGAGGTGTTTGCCACTTTATTCTCCTGTGTTACAAAATTACATGTAAATCTACATGGGTGAGCTGAAGGCAGAGCACTGGAGAAAATAAGGAATTATGCTTTACAACCAAAGAAAGTTCATTCATTCCATGTTTTGGAATTTTGGAATGACTAGGCTGAGTTGCTATTTGGTCCTCAGTGTAGAAAAGCCATAGATAGCGATACAGTTCACCTAACAATATTGCACACTGCCAACTAAATGCATTCTTAGCTTTAACCACTCTATGGTTATGAAAGACAAGAATGTAAGATGGTCTTCATGTTGGATTGGGCAGATAACTGCCATGTAAATTAGTTATACATGTGGGTTTCTTTTCCCCATGTGAACTTTACAAGTATTGATCTTGAGTTAGAGAGTTAAAAAGTCCCACAAGCAGCCGCAACGTCCAGAGGAGTGGAGCCTAATACTTTGCAGTGTAGTGCATGCATCACAGAGGAATTGCCTTTGCTGCATTGAATACCTGTGCAAAATGGGGTCCCCCATCACTGCTTCAGCCACATGCATTGCATGTGAACATTGTGCTCAGACATCGTTCCTCAGACTCCACATCTTGTCAAGCCTATGTAGCTGTACAGTGATGAATATACAGAAAATGAGATGAATGCATGACTATCACTGAAATTAAACTGGGCTGTAGCAGTCATTACAGATAGTCTCCTAGCAGGGGTTCAACAAAGCTGGCAATACAGAAATAGTTTTCAGAGTGTGTGAATTTCAGATCTGAGGCAAGAATCCCACATTCCCTGAGTGATAATTGAAAAGAGTTTGCTCTACTGACTCATAAGCCATGAAAGTATCTTGTGGGCAGCAGGGTACCTGCTGAATACAGATACTGCTACCCCATTGGCAAACCCATGTACTTTTACCCTGGTGATCTTGAATCCTCTTGAAAGATCTCAGCAACCTAATTTCCAGAAGACAGACAAGAAACAAAGTGGTTTCCTCTGAAAGGACTAACTGAAAAGGAATGAATGATCCTAGGCATTTACTTCCAGAGCAAGTTGTGGCAACGTCTGATACTGAAGTGAGGAAGCTGGCCTTCCACACAGCACAAATGCTAATAAGCTGCAATACTTCCAGTGACCTTGCCTAATTTCAAGGACATGTGGCTATGTCTTTGGGTGAAGAAAGGCCGCACACTTCTTTATGGTGATGTTACTTGTCATGCAGAGAGTAAAGTTTGCACATTGCCCTCTGCTTGGAATAACCAGTTGGTCCAGTTTAGTTCATAGTCCTTGGCTGTGTCAGCAAAGTATTCAGGGTTTATCTCCATTAACTGCTCATCTATCTGCTCTGCCTTCCCTCAACCCCTGCTCAACGTTATCATTAGTCCTACATGTGTTTTGCTCCACCTCTTCTCTGCCAGCCACTTCCTTGTAGAGCTGGCACAGCTCCAAGATGGTTTGCAATCCACAACATGGAGCTTTACAGGTTCAACAAGAGGGACAGCTTGCTTTGCCCTAGATTGGAAGGGCAGAAGAAGTGGGCAGGAGGTTATGGTGGCAACAGGAAGCAGTGGAACCTAACAGAGGACAACAGCATCCCGAGGTCATCTCAAGGTAGAAAAAGCAGGTATCTGGGATGAAGAGGGGCAGGCTAGCTCCTAGGGAGAAAATAAACATGGCTGTTCCAGAGGGAAACAGGGGAAGGGAAGTAGAGGAGCTTTTAAGATGCTTTTGATCCATCAAAAGGTCTCCTTTCCTAAGCTAAAAAATAGGTTTGCTCAATAGATGTCAAAATTCTGGTTTCTGCTCAACATAAAGGCAAATGTGGGAATGATGCAAGTGCCATAGTACTTTTGGGGCTGGTGAGCACTGGAATTAATACGACATCCTTCTTTAACCAATTCTTACTGTAGGACTTCATTACGGAATTGCTTAGTCGATTGAAAGGTCTCCGGAGAGTCACCAATCCTCAGAAGAAATGACCTTGCTCACATGGAACACCCAGCTTTGGTCACAAGGAAACGTGTGTCTTCTCTACAAAAACCAGGATCAGCAACAGCACTTCTGAATATGTTTAGGACTTATTACTGAGAAACATCACCAAGTTCGTGAACTTTGTACCAGTGGTTTGAAGTCTCCACTGCTTCCAGATCTACACACATAGCAGGCAGCTAGAGTGTACATTTTCTTGATTCTTAAAGAGCATGTTAGCCTGGGGAACAGGACAAGGTGTCCTTCCTTTAGTTTCTTCTAGGAATTTCCATGCTGGCCAAGGAGTACTGAATACAATTCTCAGGAGCCCGTCGAGACTTCTTTTGTTCTGTCCGCTGCAAGGAAAACAAGGCATTGGTTATCACTCAGTCATCAACATGGAAAATCAGTCACTGTTAAGCTGCACCCCATTTCAGTCTGGCTGGGACCCAGCTGCGATCTCCTGCCTGTTACCGCTGTACCTGACTCTACAGCATTACACCTACTTTGTAAGTCTTATTAAGCCTCTGTTATTTATGAAGGTTGGACAGAAAATATCCAGTATGATGGAAGGAAAATGGTCAAGTGCACCTGGTCTTCTTAAGGGGAAGTTTGTGAAACAGCTGCTAAGGCTAATGGAAGAGATTTTCTTTTTTCTAAAAGGCTAAGATTTAGTCTTTTTTCTAAGTCTTTTTTCTATAAGACTTAATGATTTAGAAGTGTCTTCTAAAGGAGCAAGGTCTGGGAATGATTTATCTCATAATTTAAAAAGATGTTGTAAAAATACTTATTTTGTATATTAAATCAGAGAAAACCAGCCGTGCATTGCTTGCTTTTGTTCTCTCTTTAGGTACTAAAGAAAAACTGAAGTAAAAAAATATCTGCTCCCAATTTCCCTTCAGGGAGCACCTCAGAGTGAGTCTTTTACAGACAAGGTAGGTCTCACAAATGAGCAGTGAAGTAGGACACATTGTCTTGCTGGACAAACTCTTTTGGCAACAACTAATGTTTGTCTGGAAAAGTACAGAGGAAACTACATCCAGCCTCTCAGCAGGTCAGTAATTTGACACATGTGACTAGGAAATAAGGTAGCAAATAGAGGCCGATTGCTTAGGCAGAACACTCTGACATTATGCCTGCCCCTCCGCTCATGCCTGCCACTCAAAACACAAGAGTTGCTGAGTCACATCCAGAGGGGCTTCTATGTACCAGTACATTCAAGGCCAGCTTTTGAGTACATGTTTTGTTTGTTTGTCAGACAGGGGCAGAAGGGACCAACTCTGGAACAGAAGGGACATGCAGGTCAGCTAACAAACACAAACAAGAATTCCTGGGCTGGACCAGTAATATCTTAAATACATTAGTCTTTCCATCTTTATCAGTAGCAGAGTGATGACTATTACCTTTTGCTTCCCTCCTATTTTCCAGGTGTCAGTGAACAAGCTGTGGGCCCTGTCCTCTGAGAGGACAAAATCCAAGCTGCAGTAACAACTGTGATGTAAGGGCTTGCTTCCCTTCAATGCTGTTCTTGTAGCTGACTGGCTCCTGGAAGTTTGCAAGCCATGCAGATCATGTCTTGTTCTAAGGCTGCTCCAAGATGCTCTAAGCCTTACCCACTAGGTTGGAGAAATGGTCTTCCTTTATCAGGGCCAATATATATCTATGGTAGTCCTGGGAACAGGCCATTTTTCACCTAGAAAGGGACTAATAGGACATGCCTGCCCTTCTGAAATCTCAGCTTTGTAAGTAAAATAACAACAAAATTAAATCCAGAGCTGCAACGGTTGTAGATCTGGCACTGATCGTGGATTGACACCTGCTAAGACTCAAGAGAGTCGCTGAGACAGGAGAGCTGCACACGGACAAAAAAGCTCTGAGCATGGTTAAAAACAGACTGGGATCAAACAGAAGTTCAGGTAGAAGATCTAGGTAGACAGGCCATGAGCAGAGTGTCCTATACTAGAGATGTAACTGGTTACATACAGTAGTACATAGGAGTCCCGATTACTTACACACCCTACCAAGAGGCTTTGTTTTACTCTGCTGAGCAGCAACAGCACAAAGACCTGACACGCCTCTCCTCTAGCCCAAAAGAGATATTCTTCTCTCCCCTGGGCATTGTTCTATATTTCCTCAATATGGAGTAATGCAAAGAAAATTTTTGTCTATGCATTAAGGCACACATTGTTAGAACCAAGGAAAAAGGAAGTTCTCAAAACTCTGCTTCACAGAAGCTGTCTTTGTGCTTACTCTGCAAGTAGCAGGAAAAGAGTAAGCTGCAGCCCCTATGATGTGCAGTTGGGTCCGATCCATAAGGACACCAGCACCGCATGAGAGAACTTCAAATGAGCACAGTGTTCACCGGGAACAAGGCAACACGTGGCCAGGGGCAGATGATTTCTCAGCTCACTGGTGCAAAAGAAAAAGCAACACAAGGCAATTAGAGCAACTTGTTTTTTGTTTAGTTCTTAAACAGCAGTAACTCATACTTGCTTTAATTTACACGTTGGCTGTTCTCACCCTAGACCACAAGTATAGACTAAAATCAGCGTTTTAAATTTTTTTTTACAAATATCTTCCAGTTAACTTTGCTGTTTCTCAGCACCACCACTAGCATAAGGCTGCAATGTTTAGTATGTACATAGTGTGCAAGAATGTTGCTTTAAAGGAACTTTGCCTCCTTGATTACACCAAGATAACTCAGAATGTATGAAAGTTCATGTGCTTTTCTAATTTCAATTCTTGTTGGGGTGAAGCCTACATAAAAAACATTTTGAGTGGGAAAGAAAATCTCATCCCTTATGACATGCTACAAAGATAGAAGCAAAGAAGGTGAATCTCTTTCTGGAAGATGCCAAGCCGTCTTCAGTCCTTGAATGGCTATGACTGAAGTTGACCTGGCCTATCAGGAACTGATTGTTTACCAGTATCTTTTCAAAGACAAGGATGAGGAGTAAGCAACACAGCCAAAAGTGCACTGCCCACTTAAAGGTCATGCAGCATTCATCTTACACAACAACAGATTCAGCTAGGTCTGCTTCCTGCAGACAGCTATCTGGATACCCTTTCCCTCCTCCGTGGAGGTCACTGAGGCAACAGGTACAGTGGGGAAGGCTTTTCAGAGGAAAGTGACTGAGCTGCTACTAAAACAGCCAATTACATGCAGAAAGTGCAGCAGCCACAAAAATGTCCATTAGTGCTGCAAGGAAAGCAGCAGCATGTGTATGACCAAAGAGACTCCTCCATGTATGACTAAGTTCTATTTCAGGCATTGGGTTGGGTGCACTTCTGAATTCCTTGGGATGGCCCCAGAGAAATCAATCTGGAATCTAATTAAACTGCTTCCGGCTGTAACCTGCTCCATTACTACTGATGTGAACAGGGCAGGGCTTACAAGACACAGGCCGCCTAACTGCACAGGAGCTCAAAGTTTGGTTGTGGCTGATGAAGCATCCAAAATGTTGCAAGTAGCACTCCAGCTCATACTAAGTTTTTTAAAAAAAATAGAAGCAGCTGTAAATCAAGAGGCTGAAGCCCAAAGGAATGGATCAGTCTTAAGAGAGATATAAGAACAGATATTTGCACCTTCCCTTGTATACACAAAACACAAAGGATTTAACCTAAGACAGAACTGGACTGTCTTACTACCAGACTAATTATCCATGTCAAATAGCAATGAAAAAGTGTCATTCCTATGGTGACACAAATCCAGAAGAGCATTTTGTTTTTCTTTTTAAGACTGCAAGCTTCTCAGGGCTGTAACTTATCTAAATTTTGTGTAACACAGGGCTCACTGTGAGCTCTTACATCAGAACAAATCAAATAGTTTTCCCATCTACCTGTCCCAAAGAGACAGGCACTGGTGAAGCAAGGACTGCCAGGAGAAAGAAGATCCTCCAAAGAAGCGAGGCTTTGCCACCCCTTCCTAACAAAAAGTTTTGATGGCACTGCTGCATACACTTGCAATTTTTAGTGCAGTATCACTATTCTACATTGTCTGAATCAGGTTTCTGTTGAAGGGCCTGAGCTAGTGCAGCACTTTAGCACAAACCCAGCTTCAACAGCAGCTTAATTAATTTGCTGTGCTCTGACCAGGGGTGACAGAGGTGCAGGCAAACACTATTTTGTAAGTTCACCTTGGAGGTGATCTTAAGTGACCTTAAGCAGAGGGGCAGGGCAGACAGCTGGGAGTGGCAGTGTCAAACCAGACAGGCAAGATTCATTGGAAATTCCCTGTCAAAGGCAAATCCTTTATTTTGTTGCCATTGGAATTTGTCAGCCTTAGAGAGCTCTCTCAGAAGTTCACATTACTCTGGAAAGGGCTCATCCTGATGGAATAATAAAGCATGTTTACAGCAAGTTTAGTTGGGTATCTGAAGCAATTCTGGGTGCTCTGGACACTGGCAAGTGCCACTTGCATCTGGATTGTCTCCAGGGAGGGATATGAACATATGCAACTGAGCTTCTCTCATAGCCAGAGAAAGAGCATCACACAGGTAACATAATTATTCTACCAGGGGAATAAATAATTAACAAATCTAAATCCTGCTTTCAGACTAATGTACACCTCTTCCAGACTGATAGGTTGCTCTTACAGACCACATGACCTTGGCACAGCCAATGCAGATCACAACACTGTGTATCAGTGTACCCTTTACAAAGGATCCTTCAACTGAGCAACACTGCCCATCAAGGCAGAGTAGCCCCTGCACCTTTTCCAAACACACCACAGAAACATGTTTGATGACTTCATGATTCTTCATTTCTTTCCCTAAGCCACTTGGCACAAGGACTAACATACCATTATAAGAAGGCAACAATTTGTAAAGGGCTATCAGGTGTTTCCAGGAGAGACTTTAACCACAGGCCTCTGTAAATAATTTTTATTACACTTTGAAAGTTCTCATCACACACGTGATCACAAAGTAGACAGTTTTCTCAGTGCAAATTGCTTTTCTGCCTGTTGAACCAGTGTGTAAGCTGTTAGCAAAAGCAGGAAGTTACTTATCAGCCAGTCAGTACTGCCTTAAACACTCATCTTTACTGCAACCCACATTGCCTTACAGTCTGTATTTATGGACTCGTATTCACCTCCTCATTTATTCCCAAGCATACACAGCAAACCATGCACTTCTCTGGAGTATTTGTGAGGACAAAGTCATATGCCCTCCAAACCTCTCTCAGATTACAGCACATCCTTTAACTGTCCAAAACATCACCCGTTTTGGCTGCAAATCCACTTGGACTCTTCCTCCCATCTGGCCGGCTCCTCTGTTTTCCCATTCTCCACCTTCTTTACTGCTTATGAAGAATGTGATCACTTCTGCTTGCAAGGGAGATGATAGCGGGAGGTGTGGTGGTCCATCAGGTCAAACTCATCATGGCCTTCCCTGAGAAGCAAATACAAAGTGCAGTCAAAAGTAAATACCCAGGCTGGGAATTCGCCCTTAGCTACTGCACAAGGTATCTCCCAGCAGCCCTTACCTAGAAACTTATCTCAAGGGAGATAAGTTGTGAGGACCTGACTGGCAGCCACCTGGACTGACTACTTAAGGTATTTGCTTGTAACAGAAACCTCTGAGGTGCTTTGTGGGAAGGTCTGCTCAGCCTTGCCTGATGGATTCGAAAATGACAACAGATCTCTCTGTCTCTTTGCCTCTTGGAGAGATTCACTTAACTGATGGTTCATTTGCAGCACTATGTCTATGATTCCAGGGATATAAGCAACTCCTATGACAATAGACAAAATGATGGTCTGCTCTGCACAGCTCTGTTGTGGCTAAAACACAGTGTACCGGCAGCTGTCTGAACCATGCTCAGCAGCAGGCAGTGTTGAGACACAAGCCTGCATCTGCAGGGAGCAACTTATACACTTGTTCACCTTCCAGACTGCTGATTCTGCTTTTACTGATGTTTGCTGTTGGATATTTTTGTTTGTTTGCTTTGTTCTTAATGATCTAATACAGCCAATCACATACTTTCTTAACATTTTCATATTTTTCCCATTCCATTTCTTTACAAAAACATTTGAAGGAAATCAGAGAATATACACAAAAGCATCTCTTGTTATCCCAACCAGATTCTTAGCAACTTGCTGTCTAAATATCTTCCAGCCAACTACCCAAAAGTTTTGAGGCATGAAAGAAGAGAAGTCACACAAACTGTTAGGAAAAGCTTTGTATTCAAAGGAATTAACCCTCCAAATCTGAGACATGCAATATTTTTCAGAAATCAAGCTAGAAACATTTAAGAACCAAGACTACAGCTGCTGCAAGGCCTGACTGATGAAAAAGGGTTCACACATACATATTTCAATAAAGATCTTTTTAATATAGTTTAATATTGCAAAGTCTCAACCTAAGAAAAGCTTCAGAAGTTTATACTATCTGATCTCCCCTCTTAAGGGAACGCAGCCCAGATCATCCATCAATGGCATTAACAAGCCATAGGAGTCACTGAACAATAGTCTTATTTATCCCATCCCACGTAATGCAGCACACCAGCTGCTCCAGAGAACACTCAGACAATGTGCCCAAACATGCACTGAGGCAGTACACACAGAACACTCCTGCCTAGGGTCAGTTTAGTCCCTGAAGCCTGGGATAACTACTTATCACACAAAGTATTTCCATAACAACTAGCATTCAGCTCAGATCTGGGTTCCTTAAATATTCCCTCCTACTGCCTGTTTTATTGCCCAACAAGAAAAACAAACAAAAGGGGTCAAGCTTTCCTTTTACCTGCCTCTAAGATCAAGAGGAATTGCAAGACTTACCGAAAACAGCGCTGGCAGTAGAGGTCCCCATCACAGCCATGGCAGCGCAAAGTGGCATCTTCGTTGCAGATACAGCACCAGGGTAACTCATCCTCATCACTATCTGCCCTGGCAAGAGCTGTGGTGGTTGGAGTCTGGCCCTAATTCACGAAGAAAACAGAGACACAGAGTTCAAACCCCAGCAGAGAAAATACAGGACTTTTCATTGTAATGCATGATGGCCACAATGACCTGTCATATGGTCCATAGTTCACTCTCCGCTGATGCTAAGCCTGTGAGAAGAACTTGCCCAGAGCCCAAGGATAGGCTGCATACGCATCTAGATTGTTGAATAAAACCCCAAGGTACTTGCTAGAATTTAGTTGTGAAACTATGTTGCTTGGAATGTAAACAGGTATTCACCCTCATTTGGTGTCTACAGC